CCCCAGGGGCCAGAGGGGCTGGGTGGCTGGAGCCCACGCTGGCCGGGCAGCGGGGGCAGCAGGGACGGCCCCTGCTAAGTGTGCTGGGCAGGGCCGGCACTGGGCAGCTATGGCAGGAGCCATGCAGGAGCCACGTGGGCTCCAATGTCCTTGGCTGAGCAGGTCAGGGCTGGGCCCCCCGGGGCGCTGGGGCTGGGCCAGGCTCCCCCACTCTGCAGCCGCAGCTGCAGCCCTGCCCATGTCCGGGTGCCGCCCGCCCCAGGTGAGGGCGCCTGCCGGGTGGCGTGTGACCAGCTCCCAGGTAGCAGAGCATCCGAGCTGTGGAGCCCTCCTGGCGTGTGACAAAGCCCACGGTGTCCGCCTGCAAGTCGCTGGGTTTCCAGAAACACGTGCACATGTACCACCACCCCGCTCTTGGTGGGGAGACGTCCCATCACCTCTAAGGCTTTAACAGACTGAGTCGTGTCCCCCAAACGCACAGGCTGAGCCATGACCCCCCGTGGGGCCGTGCTTGGAGACGGGGCCTTGGAAGCAGCGACTAAGGTCAAAGGGTCATGGGGGGGCTGTGTCCACGGGACCGGTGTCCTAGAAGAGGAGGTGACCAGGACGGGCACCCCCAGGGCAGGGCAGGGTCAGGCTCAGAAGGGGCGTCTGCAGGCCCAGGAGAGGGGCCCCGGGGGAGCCGGGCCACACCTGCACCCCAGACTCCGCCCACTCCTCCACTGTGGGAACCTTCCGATCATTCCCGCGGCCCAGGCTGGGCTGTGCTGTCACCACAGCGCCAGGAACTCGCACCGCATGGCGCACTTCCCGTTTCACGTTCCGGAAAGTTCCATGAGGTTCTTTCACACCTTCCGTTTTTCTCACCATCTTTCTACTGTATGTCAAGTGTGATTTCCGCACTGTTCAGGCCCAGGGCTGATCATCCATCGGCCGGCACTGTTGGGTGTCCTCCTCCTGACCGGCCTCTGCCCTGCACTGTGCTGCTTTTCCGCGCCTCAGTGGGTCTGACTCGGTGCTGGACGTCCTTTGGGCCTGCTCTGCGTATCTGGTTTGGTTTGGTCTCCCTTGGGAGACGCTGTCCTCCGTTCTGGCGAGGAGCTAACCACTGCTCCCTCCATCCTCCCGTGGCGGCCTCGCAGCCCGGCCGAACAGGGCCAGGGCGGCCCCTCCCGAGGACCGGCCTTCCCGCGTGGCCACTGCGCCCGGCTCCAGCAGGGCCTCCGCACGCTGCCCGTCAGAGCCAGGCGACTCCCGGCCCTGGGGTCCCGGGAACACCCCCTCACCGCGTCCCAGTGTCCCCGCACTGGGCTGCAGCCTCCCCCGCCCAACCTCTCCGGAGCTCCGGCCTCCCGCCCCCGACCCGGCCGGGCCCCTCGGTCTGCCTGGACCCCGGACCCTGCCCTGCTGCCCTGACTGTGCCCACAGGACACCGCTGGGGTGGCCTGGATTCCGAGGGTCCCTTCGCCGGGGACCCCGGCGACCCCGGTTCCCCGAGGCTCCGTCCTGGGAGCGCTGCCCCTGCGTTTCCCGCGTTGGAGTTTCTGGCCGGGGTAAGTCCGGGCTGTGCTGCTCCGCCACGCTGGAAGCAGAAGTGGCCAGTTCCCGTCTGAGGGACACTTAGGTTGTTTCCCAGCTCTCTGTGCTGTCCAGGCTGCCGGGAGCACTCCACACACGCGTGTCCTCACCGGGGAGGACCGTGTGCGCCCGGACCGGGCGGGGTGAGGATTCACGGCGTGTGACACTCTCCCTGCAATGGCCTCTGGGAAGGCCAGCCCTGTGCACAGCCCCTGGCACGGAGTGTCCCTGCGTTCACATTTCCTCCGTCCCCTGGTGCTCCCTGGTGCTCCTCCCTGCGACCCTCTCCCCTGCCTTCTCCACACTCCCCCCCTGCCTCTGTTCAGGCACTCCGCCGTGTCTCTGTCCTGCATGCTGAGATGTCCACGCCAACGGTGGTCGCCCCTCTGGGCAGGTGGTTCCTGGCCTTGAGCGCAGGGCCCCCGAAGCTCCCAGGCTTCTGAGCTGCAGTGACATGTGGCTGTTCCCGGGGCCAGGTCCCTTTCCCAGGGCCGGGGTCCGTTCACCATTGAACCAGGACCAGAGGAGCCCACTGGGCCGTGGTTTGCAGAGCCTTTGGGGCTGCCCTGGGGGGCCCAGCCCCCACCCCCACTCTTAGGGCCAAGCCCCCTTTGCTCCTCCTGGGGCCATAGCCCTGTCCTGGCCCAGGCTGTGTGCCTCGGTTTCCTCACCGGGAGGGTGCATCCTGGTGGTCCCGAGGGTCGGGAGTGCTCTGACCCGGGCTCCTGTGAGGGTGAAGGGAGCTGCCTGTCCAGGAGGGTTGGGGGTCCCCAGCCTGGGGCTGTGGGGGTCGAGGGTCAGGTCACTGCAGGGCCAGGACGGCAAGCGTGAGCTCTGGGGTGCCAGGGAGCCTGGGACACGCGGGGCAGAAGGCTGCATGGGAGGCTGGGACAGAGAGAGGGGCCATGGCTGACGAGGGGGTCTCATGGGCAGCCTGTGGCGGGGCAGGGCATGGGCAGGGCGGGGGGCAGGGCGGGAGGGCGCCAGAGGACGAGGAGGGAGGCAGAGCCGGGCTGCGGGGCACTCAGAGTGTGACGGGCAGCTCGGAGGGGACGGGCGGCCGGGGCAGAGGCCTGGGTCTCAGCCGCGTGCTGCCCCGAGGCAGGCCCTGACCCTCTGGGAAGTCCCAGGCTGCCTGGGCAGACCCCGACCCTCCTCTCAGCATCCAGCCCTCCCTGCCCCCCGGTCCTTCTCTTCTGTCCCCAGCCGCCCCCGCCCTACCTGGAGAGCATGCCGGGTCCTGCAGATCCCAACTGTGCTTCCTGGACGGCCCTCCGGCCCGCAGCCCTCCCTGCCCTGCCCTCGCGTCTCGCTGGCACCCACCTGGGCGACTCCGGGAGCCTCCCTGGCCAGCTTCCGGCTGCACCCTCCGCACAGCCTGGACTGCACAGTCTCGCAGCATAGGACACACCCGGCGTCCCCACCTCCCTCGGTGGCGGGGGACACAGGCAGATCCGCGTCCTGTCCCCTTCATCCTCACCGGGAGGGGACCACAAGTTCCTGCAACAGCTCCACGCACACGCTTTCTCAGAGAATGCCCTTCCGACCTCGTCCCCCAATGGGCTCCTATTCATCCTCCACAGCCCCAGGTGGCATGTGCCACCCACTACGAAAGCCCTCACCACAAGGCAGTACATTGACCAGGCCTTCGCCTCTGAGCCCTCAGCCCAGCGGGGTTGGCAGGGAGGGCAGCTGAGGCCGGCCTTGGACACACACAGAGGAGTGGAGAGGGAGCCCCCGGGGTGGGCCTCGGGACCCCAGCCTCACCCCTCCAGATCTGGCCCCAGCACTGGGTCCCCACAGCCCATCACACCCTCGGTGCAGACCCCGCCCGGGAGTGGAAGGGGAGACGCCATCAGGGGATTCCAGACAGGCCCCTGGAGACTCTCCACCAGGGAGGCAGGTGTGGAGCTGCCACGGCGGGGGGCACACAGCCGGGTGACGGGGGCTGGACTCTGGGTGGGCTCCCCAGAAACCTTTGGGCAGGATGCGATGGGGGAGGAGCTGAGGCTCCCTGATCCCTGTGGGTAAGACTGGGCCTGGTCATGCCTCAGTTTCCCCACTTGCCAGGGTGGGGTGGACAAGACCCTGAGGGTGTGTCTGTGGGGCATGGTGGGCTGGGGGCCAGGCGAGGGTGAGTAGTGTGCCGCACCAGGTCTAGGGGCCGCCCCACATTGGAATCCCTTGCCCCCGAAGAGCACCCTCAGGCTGGCTGGGAGGCGGCGCGTGGGGCGGGCAGTCCCGGCACCGAGCCCTGCCTGGCGAGGCCCCTGAGAGCCTTTGGGTTTCTGCAGCGCTCCCCAGGGCCCAGCGAGCAGGGGGAGGGTGCAGGGGGTGCCCCTTCCTCTTCCTCGGAAACCCCCACGTGGCTCTGTGGGGGGCACTCATGAGGGGCACTCGGGGCAGGGGCGTGTCGGGGTGGGCAGGGATGTGGGGACCCTGGTGCCGCCTGGGGCCTTGTGTCCTGGGCGCACCTTCCCGGGGCTGGTGGCCAGCAGGGGACCTGCCTCTGGAGCGGGGCACACTTTGGCCCAGCAGGCCAGCACCATCCACCCCAACCTGAGTAACGTCACCCCTTCCTCGTCCCTTCCCCAGGGCACCCTGGGAGTCCAATTAGGCAGTGACCATGGCCACACTGGTGGCTGTAGCCGGTGCCGCCCACAGTGACCCCTGCCAGGGGATGGTCCAGCCGGGGACGTGGGGCAGCCCTGGCTGAGCCCAGGGGTCTGGGGACTTCCTAGTGGGGCGTCGCTGTCCCCTGGCCCTGCTGCTCTTCTCCTGCAGACCAGGCCGGGCGGGTTCCCACCACCGTGTCCAGCAGAGGCCACTGAGTCCCGCTGGGCCGGACCCTGGAGAAGGACTGGGGTTCACAGTCAGGACCGGGAGGGGTTCCGGGTCAGGCCTGGACAGGCCGTCCAGCAGGTGGGCCCTCAGGAGAGGTGGCTCTTGGATGTGGCGAGGGCCCAGGACGCTGGACAAGAGAGTGGGGGCGGTGTCTGGCCAGGCAGCCCAGCGTGGAGCGGGGGAAGGAGGCCAGAGGGCCCTCGAGCCACACAGGGGACAGCATGTGACTGGGGAGCGAGCCCACCTTACTCCTCCCCCTGGGCCTCCAGGGGCTGGGGGGCCTCCCCATGCGTGCCCCGTGCCTGTCTGCCTGTCTGTAGGGCCCTGAGTGTGGTCTGGTCCCCACGCCCCCAGCCGGCTCTGAGGGGAGGGCCGAGGTGGGAGGGGGGAAGCCCGCTGGGGACCAGGCTCTGAGGGGAGGGCCGAGGTGGGAGGGGGGAAGCCCGCTGGGGACCAGGCTCTGAGGGGAGGGCCGAGGTGGGAGGGGGGAAGCCCGCTGGGGACCAGGCTCTGAGGGGAGGGCCGAGGTGGGAGGGGGGAAGCCCGCTGGGGACCAGGCTAGGCTCGGGCCTGGGTTGGCCCTGCGAGAGCAGAGTGAGCCGGGCAGAGGCAGGTGCACTTTGGGGGGCCTCACTTCTAATAGAAAACCCAGAGGGGGGCTGCGGATGGTGCAGGAGAGAGGGTCTCCCTGCTGGGGCCCCTCCTGGCATTGCGCTGGGCCAGTTCCCTCCCCGAAGCCTGCTGCTCGCTACTGCCGCCTCCCAGCGTCAGGGCCCCTGCCGCAGTTGTTTAGCGGGCTGGCGGGGGTCCCGGGCCAGCCGCCAGGGCCGGAGACGTCCTGATGGGGAACATGGGACCTCCTCCTTGGGGCCAGGGAGCCCCCTCCAGGAGACCAGCGCCCAAAGCGCACGCCTTTCCGCTGGTGAGCCCCTGCCTCCTGCTGTCCCCCAGCTTCCTGCAGACCCTGCCCCTCCCCGCCCCCTCACTCCCAGCGCCCTCCCCATCCCCAGCGCCTGCCCTGGCCCCGATTCCCAGCTCCCTCACTGCCCCAGTCTCCCCTGCCCCTGCACTGTCCTGTCCTCACCACGGGGCTGGGGGGCCGGAAGGAGAGCCACAGCCCCACCCAGCAGACCTCCTTGGGGGCCCCTCCGCCCTCGCCAGCCCTCCCCTCCCCACCATCCAAGGGCAGCTGGTGCCCTCCACGGCAGGGTGAGGGCACTTCCTGGCCAGGTGGCGCTAGGGGAGCCGGGAGCCAGTGTCTCTGAAGGTCCCTGGAACAGGTGGCCTCGCTGCCTAAAGCTCTGAGCCAGTGATAAGCTCAGTGTTTGGGTCCAGGGTTTCTGGGCGGGAACACCCCTAGCCAGGCTGGGCTCCTGCCTGCCCAGGCTCTCCACCCCAGGGAGCCCCACGCTGCCAGGCAACCTTCCTGGAACCAGGACCCAGCAGGGCCACGCTCCCCGCCCGGGCCCTGGCAAACCTGTCCCCCCTGCCCGGCCTGTGAGCCCCTGAGTCTGCCCCACCGCACAGAGGGGAGACTGACGCCTCGGGGCCAGGCCCAGGCAGGGACCCGGAGTCAGCCAGGGCAGCTCCTCCCGCCAACGCCTGTGCTGGCCCTCAGGTGCTGTACCTCCTCTTCCTGGAGTCCCCCCGCTGTGCCCCAGCCCTGCCATCCTGCAAAGAGGAGGAGTACCCAGTGGGCACCGAGTGCTGCCCCAAGTGCAGCCCCGGTAAGCGCAGCCCTGGGAGGGGCCGGCTCCACTGGACCCTTTCCGAGGGGCTGGTGCTGGCACTGTCGTCCCCTCCCTGCCCTGGCAAGGAGCCCCCTCTGTTCTCTGTCCCCACAGCCATGGGTGGCATGAAGCCTTGGGCCCAGGGGCATGGACAGTGGGGATGTGACACGGGGTGGGCCTGTCACAACCAGAGGCTGAGGCCTGGGGGTTGCCAAGGGCCCCACATCCTTCTAGAACTTTCCAACTCCCCCCAAGCAGGCACGCTTGTAGAAGGCAGCTGGGGACTCATAGACGTGCCCCACGGGGCACAGCGCAGGTGCCCCTTGAGTCCCCGAGGCCGGTGGTCCACCTGCTGGGGCGGGAGGGCGGGGGGCTCCTGCGGGGCGTCCGCAGTGCTGAGAGCCGGTCTGGGCTGCAGGCTACCACGTGAAGCAGGCCTGCGGGGAGCTGACGGGCACGGTGTGTGTGCCCTGCCCCCCGAGGACCTACACCGCCCACCACAACGGCCTGAGCGAGTGTCTGCCCTGCAGAGTGTGCGACCCAGGTACGAGGGCCACCCCGCCCGCACCGCCCCCAGCCCGCCTCCACGGGGCTCCCTGCCGGGGTCTCCTTCTGTCATTTGTCACCTTTGCCTTCCCAAGTTCGGCACCTGGCCATCGGCCCTGCTGCCAGCCCTGTCCCGGGAGAGCCGGGTCTCCAGGCACCAAGTCGGATGTGTGGTCAGCGTTAGCCACTCCCCACAAGAAGGCAGGGCAGGGGACAGCCCACCTTACAGACGGGCAGGCTCAGCCCCAGTCACCTGTCCCTGGCCTCTGGCCCCTCCTCCTCCCGTGGCCGCAGACTCAGGACGGTGGGGCGGTGTGGGACCGGGAGGGAGGGGACCCAGCTTAGACAGAAGGCAGGCCCAGAACCCCAGCCCCACCCTCAGACAACCCAGGCCGGGCTCAGCCGCAGGAAGTGCCCCGTGGAGGGCCAGGCAGGCCCAGGGCTGATGGTACACCTGGGGCCAGCACCTGGGGGCAGGTGGGCTGAGGAGGAAGGCCAGAGGCAAGAAGGAGGCTGGAGTGCTTTGGGGGCTGATGCAGGTTGGGATGGGGGCCCACATCTCAACCTGCTCCCACAGCTCCTGCTCCCCCAGCCTTGAGAAAACACCTGTCTCACTGGGCTCAGGGCATGGGGCACAGACGGCAGGTGAGGCTGTGCCTCCCGCGGGGCCCAGGCCAGGCGCAGGCTCTTGCCACGGCCGCCTCCGCCATCTGAACAGCCTGTCTTGCGTGGAGGGTGCCTGGCTGAGGGTGGGTGTCGAGGGGCAGGTGCACCAGGGCTGGGACCCGTCCCCCCATTCCCCCCGTGCCCCCTAGCTGACACTGCAGTTCTCAGTGTCCTTCTGGGCCAGTTTGAGCAGAAGGCCAGCTTCCCTGGGAGGCCCAGCTCCCTGTCCCCTCCCAGGACCCCCAGGCCCTTGTCCCACCTGCTGCTGCTGTGCCTTGGGGCCCTTTGGGACTCAGCCCCCAGTCTGGCACCTCTGGGCACCGTGTTTATCTGAGCTGGGGGTGCAGGGTCCCTGGGGGCAGAATCTGGGCACAGACACTCAGACCAGCCAGGCCTCAAGGCTGGACTGAGGCCCAGTCCTCACCCCAGGCAGGAGCCCCTAGCCCCCTCCCAGGACGGGGCCTGGCCCTGCCCACGGCACCCTGGACGCTGCTCTCAGGCCCGTCTCTTGGCCCCAGCCATGGCGCTGTGCCAGGTCAGAGCTGGTCTCCAGGACGCAGGAAATTCACGTATTGGGCTGCAAGCCAAGGCCACTTCTGCGGAGGACGGTGACCACTGTGCCGCATGCGCGTCCCACAGCTCGTGCCGCCCGGGCCAAGAGGTACAGGAGAGAGGTGAGCTGGCAGGTGGCTGTGCCCACCCCAAGATCCCTGGGCCAGTGCCCCCGCTGACCCCAGCCCCCTCCAGCCTGGTGGCCCGCGCCTCTGACCAGGCCCCACTCCATTTCTCAGGCACGAAGGCAGGAAACACGGTGTGCCCAGGATAGTCCCCAGGACCTCTCTGCCACTGCGGAGCCCTGGAGGATGCCAGCCCTGGGACGAGTAGCGGACCGCAGGGGCCTCAGGGGCGCGCGGGCCTCCTTGCTGCTCCCATGGCGTGGCTGCCCGCCCTCAGCCCGAGACCCGGCTGCGCCCCACCCTGGTTGCAACCACGGTCCACTTGCCAGCTCCGGGAGGCCCGGCTAGCGGCACCTGCGCGTCCCACAGATAACAGGCTGCACCGCGCCACTGGCACGGGTGGGTCGGGCTTCCTGTGAAGGCCAGGAGGACTCACGGACCTGGCAGCCACCCAGAGGGCTGCTGCCAGAGCCCCTTGTCCCCTGGCTCCCTGGTGGGAGGCATCCTGGCTTCTCGGGGGCGCGGGGGGAGTTTGTCAGTGCGCGTTTCCCAAAGTGGGCCCCCACTCCTCAGCTGGCACGACCTCTTTCCAATTTGGCCCCATTTTCCCGGACCCAGCTGACCTGGGACCTCACAGCCTCTGGGCTGGGCCCGGGGTGGCTGCCCCGGGGAGGGGTGCACGGGGACCCTCTGTCCTGCTCTGCATGCCTGGTCCTGTCTCCCCAGCTCTGGCCTATCCAGCTCTGGCCCTGGCTCTGCGTCCTCCCGGGCATGCTCTCCCTCTGTCCTCTGTCCTCCCCACGCTGGCCTCTCCCTGCCTGGGGTCTCTGGTCCCCTGGCTGCCCCCTTCTCCCTCTTCGCCGCCTGTCCCCCCTGCCCTGGCCTATCTCTGCTTCCCTCCTCCACCTCTCTCTCTGCCTCTCCCCGTAGTGGCACTTGGGAAAGCCAACAGGCCTGAGGTCACGCCCCAGAGCTGTCGACCAGCCCAGCCGCCCCAGGCCCTGCGAGCGGGGACGCCAGGTCTGCGCGAGCATCGTGCCCGTCACGGTGCCCGCGCCGCTGGCACCCAGGCTCCGCGGCTGCTCTCACGCAGGTGCAGCGGCTGGCGTGTCACAGAGACACCTGGGACCAGCAGCTCGGATGCCACCTGCTCCTTGAAGACGTCGCTTCTTGGGGTCATTTCTGTTGTTGCTCTTGTTTCCATGCTTGGCCCGGTGACATTCTACTTGTGGAGAAGAACAAAGGCCAGGGGTGAGCGAGTCCGCCCGCTCCTTTCGGACTGGGGTGTCCCGGGCATCTCCTCTTAGAGCCCTTCTTCTGCCGTCCTGTACCCCCAAACCTGGGGGAGCGGCCCCCTCTCAGCAGCTGCTACAGGCCTGGGGGGGGGGTGGTGGCTTCCTGCTGTGTCCAGAGCCCAGACTTCAGGTGTCCTCCCTGCAGGCTGAGGAGAAGTGGGTCTCCTGACCAAGGAGCCCTGTGCCACCCCTGCCACTCAGTGCTGGGGCCCCAAGGGCCACCTGCTTGCGGGGGCAGGGGAGCACAGGGCTGGCGTGTCCCCACCGGGAAGGTTAGGGTCTCTCCTTCCTTCACTCCTGCGCTCACTTACCCGCCTTGCTCAGGGCACGTGGCCGTGCCTCACCCTGGCACCGGGGACCCAGCTGTGCAGACCCAGCCCCGGCTCTGGGGGCCCCGTGCACACCCGGGGTGGGGGCAGCCTCTGTGCACAGAGACCGTGTGTGTGGGGGGGGGTCATCACACTCCCTGCCCAGCATCAGCACGGCCACCCGTGTCCTCGCGGCGGGCACCTGAGTGCAGGCAGCTCTTGGGGTCCCCGACACTGGCATGGGCCAGAGTGGCCCCATCCCTGTCTCGCCCTGAGTCTGGGGCACCTGCTCCTTGGGGGTCCCCGTCTGCAGGGTGCTCACCCCTCCCTGGAGGAAGGTTATGGCGTGAGTCGCACACTCGGTGCATGGCAGCCGGGAGGGGGACCAGGGTCTCCTGGCCCATTGGGGCGCCCTTGGGGACAGGCTGGGCTGGGAGCCCCGAGCACAGGTGGTTCCGCCTTGTCTCAGAGAGGGTCAGTCTCTCGGGGAGGCCACGCAGGGAGAAGCCAGGAGCGTGCGGGTCCCGCCCCGTCACCAGCACCTGTGTCCCCCCGCCAGGCGCTTGGGCCCCTCCCCTAACCTGCGTGTCTCTGCATTGCAGGCGCCGTGGCCAAGGTAATGGTCTCCCCCAGGTATCGTTCAGAGTCCTCTGTCTCCCCTCCCCACTGGGGTCGATGCTGCTGGGGAGCCCGGGGGCGCCCAGCTCTGGGAGGGGCTGAGTCCTCAGCGTGCAGCCGCGCAGCTCCCCCACGACAGCGGCAAATTGCCCCCGCGAAACCGGAGGCCGTGGGTGGGAGCCTCGGAAGGCCGGGTCCTCACACTGCCTTCGCCTGCAGCGGGAGGTGCAGGACACCGAGGGCGAGGCCACGGACCTGCAGGCCCCGCCGGACGTCACCACGGTGGCCGTGGAGGAGACGTCGCCCAAGTTCCCAGGGAGGGACCCGAACTGCTGACCCACGGGCTCCGGGACCAGACCTCTGAGGCATCTCAGACGGCCGACACCTGCTGAAACCTGCCGCCCACCCGGTGAGGCCGGGGTAGCCAAGAGAGCCTGGTGGCTCCTGCCCTGCACGGGCACAGGGTTCCAGCCTGCAGGGAGACGGCGCAGGGTCAGGGCTGCAGACACCGCGCACACGCCCAGTGGACAGGGGCCGGAGCCCCTCGCCAGGACACTTCCCCGCCGCCCGAACGGCTCCCGCCTTCCAGAATCCCGCCAGCCTCCCGTGGGAGGTGGCGGCGGGCACTACCTCACGGCGGGAGCACCGGGCTTGGCCCCGAGTGTGGCATTAAACGAGCACCCTGTTGTTCGAAGGGCTTTTCTACCTTGGATTTGAATTCAGCTCCTTATTCCTGTTTACCATGAAAGCGTCTCTGGGAGACCCTGTGAGTCCAGCAAGGCGCCGCTGCCCACCGCGCTGCTGTCCGCCAGCTGTTCTCCCCAGCAGCGATCTCGGGCAGGTGCGCCCGTCGCCGCGCGGGCGTTGTCACGCTAGGATTTCACCGGGGACAGTCCGGAGGGCTCGGCCGCGCAGCTGTCACAGCCGGACACAGATGTGCGCGCTGGGGCGCTCACGTGGCACCTGCAGACACGGCGGCGCCATTCTGTCCTCTCTTCTGCCAGAGGGACCCTCTCCCCGACAGGAACCTGCTCCCTCCGCCCGGAGCACTTTGCGTCCCGGCTCCCGGGGGACACGGAGCCCTCCCAGAATCACCGCGTTGAGAGTCCCGCGCTGGCGGGGTGCAGCCCGTGGCCGCAGGTCTCTTCGCTGTGGCTTTAGGCTCTGTGGTCCAAATACCCTGGACGGTGACGTGGGTTAGTTTTTCTTTCATCTCTTTTTCAATGCGGTCATTTCATTCGTTTGAGATGGCACCTTGGCCGGGCGCGGTGGCTCACGCCTGTGACCCTGGCACTCTGGGAGACCGAGGCGGGAGGATCACTCAAGGTCAGGAGTTGGAAACCAGCCTGAACAAGAGTGAGACCCCTCATCTCTACTAAAAATAGAAAGAAATTAGCCAGACAACTAAAAATATATAGAAAAAGTTAGCCGGGCATGGTGGTGCATGCTTGTAGTCCCAGCTACTCGGGAGGCTGAGGCGGGAGGATGGCTTGAGCCCGGGAGTTGGAGGTTGCTGTGAGCTAGGCTGATGCCATGGCACTCACTCTAGCCTAGGCAACAGAGTGAGACCCCGACTCAAAAAAAAAAAAAAAAAAGGAAATGGCATTTTACTCGTCATCTGAGTATGGATTCTGCCGTGCAGCTCCGTGTCCGCCGTGCCGACCCTCCCTGTCGTCTGTCTGATGTGTCTGTCTGCCTGTCTGCTTCCCAATCTCTGGGACGTTAGCAAGGGCTCGGACGTCCCTGTTAGTGGTCTAGACGTTGCGACGGAAGGGCAGAGATATTCCTTCCTCCGTGTTTTGTAAAACGAAGTTCTCTTTCTAAGAAAATTAAAAGAAAAAAGAATTTAAAAGAAAGAAAGAAAGGGCAGAGATGGCAGCTCGGTGGCTGCGCGCAGAAACCCGCCGCGAGCAGCGAGCGGGCGATGGGCGAGAACTCGAGACTCTGGGACCGAGTCGGCACCGCACGCCGTGGGCACCGGGACCAGGGCCGGCCGAGAAGGGGCCACCACACGCAAGGCTCGGTCGGGCAGGAGGTCGTGCCAGTCTCACACGCGCGCTGGCCTGCGGACTCCCGGCCGCCCAGAGGAGGGCTGGCCCCGCGTGGGGTCATGGCTGGCCACGAGGCTGCTCTCCGGCGAGACGGAGCCAGCAGACTGGAGACCGGCGGGGGACAGGAGGCCCGAGCTGCACGGTCGACGCACCCGGCTTTGTTCCGTCGACGCCTACAGATCACTCTGCGAGGACACGGGCGGAGGCCCCTGCACACGTGTGAACATGCCCTGCCGGTGGAGGCCAGGCCACCAGCAGCCCCAGGGACCCTGTGGTTTCCCCACAGGGAGCTGCCGGCAGCCTGGGACTCGGCCCTTCCCCGGCCTCCCATCCCCTTATTGTCCCAGCCTGCAGGACTCAGACGGGAGCCAGGGCCGTCCCCACCAGGGTCCCCAGGGCTGTGGGTGTTCCCTGCAGTGCAGCCTCCTTCCCACGGGCAAAAGGCAGACACAGCCGGAGTCCCTCCTGGGGACGGGTTCACAGACGTGGCCGTCCCCACCGTGGTGTCGCTCAGCCTCAAAGGGAAGGCAGGTGGCATTGACACCTGTCACCGCCTGCAGGACACTTGGGGACACTCCACTCGGTGGCATAAGCCAGACACGAAGGACGAGGACCGTGTGGTTCCACTCACAGGGCCCTGGACAGGCACGTCCTGGAGACAGACGGTAGAACGGGGTCGGGGCGGGGGCCTGAAGGGCCATTGCTCAATGGGCACCGAGTGTCCCCTGGGAGGGCGAGGACGTTCTGGAGACGGTGGTGTGGCGCTTCCAGAGCCCTGAGGGTGCTCAGTGCCACTGCATCGCCCACTTCTGAACGGGTCAGACGGCGGGTTTTATGCTCTGTGCATTTCAGCACAGCTTAGACGGAATAAGTCCATAAAGACTGTTTAACA